TAGTATGAATTTCAAAATGTACTTTACGTATTATCAGGCCTCATATGTATTTATAATATACAAAAAGATGAATCGATGAATAAAAATGAATGACTATTGAAAATAATTTGTGATGAATGTAAGCTAAGTTTGAAAACTTTTATTAATTTGAATGAGTAAACTCTGCTTTGAATGTCAAATTATTTATCAATAGTCATTCATTTTTATTCATCGATTCATCTTTTTGTATATTATAAATACATATACAGGGTTTTCACTGTTTTTTCCCATTGGTTATGAATTAATAATGGTAACAATATAGTGAAAACCTTTTATTTATTAAAATAATTGTATTCAGGAATAAGTAATGAAGCGATTGATACCAATAATTACGCAAAATATCATCAGTAATATCAATCTATTATATGTAGGGACAGGACTGAGTGACAAAAAAGGCAACAAATACACTGATTTTAGTTCACTTGGGTTATTACTGCTTGGGATGCATAGCCCTATGCACTAATCCATGTACAGGTGTACTGATAGTGTATGGTTTTATAGTGGTCATGCTAATCCCTGATAAGTTATCAGTGAGCATTTACTCGACTCAACTGAACCCAAGTCTGAACTAAAAACAGTGTATTTGTTGCCTTTTTTGTCACTCAATCCTGTCCCTAATTATATGATTTCATTTATGTAAATGTTGGCCATAATTAGTATCTCCTGTACACGAAATGTGAAATAATATTCATTTCATGTTTTTTGCGAAATCCTGGATAAAAATCCAGGATTTCTGACGTATCGACTGTTATTTTGTTTTATAAATGAATCGACAAAAACGAATCATTTAAATCTTGTTTACAACAATAATTATAAATGTTTATAAGAAAACAAATATTGAATAAATAGTATTTTTATGCATTTAATAGCCTATAATTTATGTTAACAATATACCATGATCTTTAATTAAACATCAATTTATGGATTTAAATTAAAAATGCTTTGATAAGATTTGCACATATCGTTTATTACTGACCAATAAAAATATTTTAAAAACACGCATTTTAACATTAATCTCAATACTGACTAATATATAATGTTCACAGTTTTGCCACTGTTAATGTGACCCGGATTACAATGTATGCGCATAGATTCTACCGGGTAGAGAAACAGTTAATATACAACTAATGCATTATTATTGCGTAAAACTTTAATCTTGATTATATATATACAGTCAGTTCGAAAATAGAGTAACCTGGTTTTTCTAAGAAAAACACATCAAGACCATTTTTGATTTCATTCATTTTTATATAAGAAATCCGGAATTTTGTGATAAATTTTATGAATTGATAATTATTTTTTTGTGACCTCGGTGTCAAAGGTTATTTCCAAAAAACTGTTTCCGAAGTTACATTGTATATATGAAAAATCTAATATTTTCAAATAATTTGTAAATTCATAAATGTTTTGACGTGTTTCGGAAATTTCCAAGATAATTCATGGATCAGTAGATATTTTAAGACAAATGTCTTAATAGTCGTTAAAAATATATATTTTGGTATGGCTTTAAAGGGAAATTTTGAATAAAAACTGTAATTCTATATTTTAATGAATGTGCAACACATCAATGAAATTTTTTCAATTTTATTGCTTAAATAACTGTAATTTGAAATATTTGAATAAAATCTATTATATACACAAATATTAAGTATTAAAATATTAAATACTAAATATTTTAAATTACAGTTATTTAAGCAATAAAATTGAAAAAATTTCATTGATGTGTTGCACATTGATTAAAATATAGAATTACAGTTTATATTCAAAATTTGCCTTTTAAAGCCATATTAAAATATATATTTTTTAACGGCTATTAAGACATTTGTCTGACATATTTTTAATTACTTTTTAAATTATTTTTATAATATAAAAGCTTATTTTAGCTGTGGGTGGTGGTGGGGAGTAGAGTGGTGTAGCGGTTAGAGTGTCGCACTAACAATAGCTAAGTTAAGGTTAATCAATAGGTGTCCAGAGACCACCTGAAAGAAGCTGTATAGGGGGACATGAGCTCGCGTCCAAAGCGGGGAAAAATTATTTTTTATTAAAAGTTTTAAAAATGTTTTGAAATACTTTATATGTATATAATAAGTAAATAACTAAATAATAATTACTAAATTGTATTAAACTAAGAAACCATTAAAATAAACAAAAATAATTTTTACTACACTTATTAAAATTCATTACACACTATAACTGTAGTACAGTATAACACGTCTAACCTTTAAAAATGTAATACAATATAACGTCTTATAAGTCATACAATTGAGAAATAGGTATCAAATTCTTGGCTCACAATCACTAATGTCTGTCTCAATACAAATGTAGATTTCATTTTAAATTTTATACTTTTTTAATGAAATAATATTATCACATATTATATTCACATACATCTAGTCTTACATTGCATTGAAAACACAAACAAATACTAATTTTAATTGTATTTAAAACAGTATTAATTTGTATTAAAACTTAAAAATAAGTTTTGTAACTACCGTAGTATTTGATTTCAAATTTTTGTTCAAATTTATTTCAAATTAGTAAACAATGAGCAAGTACACAATTAATAATCTGGTACTGATAAATGTGTGCTTAATAAGTAGCACTGGTGTACAGACGGCACCGGCATTTTGCAGCGACAACTACGTGGATGCCGTGTTGTGGGACGGCCTGTCCTATCGGGTCACCCGAAACGTATGGATTGCAAGCTATGATCAGATTCACCGAAAAGTATCCAAATTCTTGCATAAAAGTCAAACTGATTTTCCCGAAGGTTTGTCACATAAGTCTTAATTATTTTACTTATTAATAGCTTTTTTGTATTGTAAATAAAAGTAAAGTATAAGTTACAGTATTATATAAAGCAATTTTATCAAATATTATATTAACTTAAATGTTTTACAATTTATTTCTATTCATTGTAAATGTATAAAAATAGTAAAAGCGATAAAATTCTGAATTCAAATGTAAAGATCTAATTTTAAAAGTTATCAGTTTCAACTATTTAGTGATTAAATCAATTAATGCTATCATTAATGCATTAGTGCACAATCAGATAAATAAATTTTAAACTAAATAAATATTATTATTATAATTATAATATGTTGAAATAATAATTCTCAGATTTTAATCAATTTAACCCACCTCTACACAGTGCTAAATCTATAAATTAAATTATTTCTCTATTATTTCGTAACACTGATAGCTATAAAACTTATATAATTTAATTATAAAATTAACTTCACTTTAAAAAAAATACTCACAAAAATAATTAAAAATATTTCCAAATAATTTATCCAAAAAACATTTTTACACCACAGAGAAAGGCTATTACTACCAGTCGGGGTATCACATCCCACGGGTGCCCGACTGTGACCGCACGCACCTGTCCTGTCAGCTCATGGAGGCCCTGTCGGGACTCACAATATACACCATACGGGACACCATATCGGGTGAGACGGTGTATCGCATGGAGCGGAATACTCGCCACAAATCCCTATTACACGACATTAACATAAAGTACTTTTTCGAAAGCAATTTAATGCCGCGCCGGTTGGCCCAGAAGTACCGGCCCTCGGTCTACATACCCTCCCACTACATGTTCGTACACGTCATGAATAAATACCGTAACTTCGGGCCCCTTATCGAGACCATTGAGCTGAGAGCTAACGGCGTGATTGAGCGCTCGTACTACGAGTTGACTGAACCCAGGGATACGGTGTTTGTGACCAGTTTTTGGTGGGAATTAACCCAAAGGGTGTATATTATCGGCGAGAGTACGATGGGTTTTGGCAACGCTTTCCTCTATGAGTTACAAATGCCTAACAAAACTGTTGTCATAAATCCAATCGTGAGTATAGTTAACATAAGTTTTTGTTTGTTGTTTAGTCTACTGTTAATTATACTTATGAAACATGATATGTTTTACTAATGAGTTGTGTTTAGTTATCGTATTGTATTAAAATGGTAAATGTTTTGTGTTTTTCATGTATATAAATAAATGTTTATTAGATATCGGGTTATCTTTTGACTGACTGAACTTTTAGGGTATTAAATAAAACATAAAATATAATACATTTGTTAAATAACAATAACATAAAAATAAGTCTAAATAAGTCTAAACTTTATGATAACTTTTATTAGGTTACTGTAAATAACATTAGTATAGTAATTAACATAATTTTAAAATACTTTTTGAAGCCTAACATTTAGTTAAATGAAAAATGATAAATAACTGGAAAATTTAATTTTAATTCATAAAACATGAACAAATTATACATAAAAATACAGTAAATTAAATTAATTTTAATTGTGTGTCCAGAATATGACTGTTTTAGAGTTCTTTGGGTGTGTACACCCTAAAACCACCCGTCCCACTCATACAATCATAAATCATACATCAATTAACTCAACCAACACTACCGAACAGTATATCTCTGTCCAGACATCCTATGATGAGAATGACTACAACGATATGAGGGCTGATACTCAAGATCCCGATCCACCCGCTGCTGACACCACTACCGCTGAGCCGGAACTGGACTTTTGGAAACACCTCTTCATAATTATCTACTTTATGCTCATATTATACACGCTATTAATGTGTATATTTGGCTGTATTTCCATGATATGTATGTATTATCTCAAGAATAACGTACAGAATATTCTGTAAACTCTTGTTTCCTGCAGACCTGAGGCGACATAACATTGACAATAGAGGGGAACGTCTGGTGGAAAGGGAGGACAGGGCTACGGGACTCAAATCTGTGGCGCAAACACCACATATCGCACACAAACAGTTGAGATTCAATGACCACATCAACGACTTCTTCATCGAGGAGTACGAGGCGTCGCCTAAAATACCGACACATTTGTGTCGATCCGTGTCCTGTCATACCATCGACTCGTTTGAGGGCAACAACACGTGTTAAGCCATTTGTGGCCAAAAATGTCTGCTTTTATAAGTATTTTGTGAATCAAATTATGTATCAATTGTAGTTCGGGTGGTTAGTATAGAAAGTGTATGTTTTAAGGACTGGGAGGTTATTATCAAATATTATATTAATACAGTATTATCAAATAGTTATATATTTCAGATTTTTGTATTTTGTTATATTTTGATTACTTTTATGTTGTGAACTAATGTTTATCCATTACTTCAACATTTTTATTTCAAACAAATATTTTTAAAAGTTTTAATGCTTTTTATTTATTACTAAATAGTCTTATGGTTTGTGGAATTAATTTTAATAACTTTTAATTTGTTTAATTACAATAAAATTATGAGTCATGTCTAGTCCTAAGTAACCATGCTTAAAGGTATTGCTTTAAAATGTATTAACTAGATACTAATTATTTTAGACCATGTTTATAATTGCTTTTAGTATGCTAATTTGTAAGCTTAAATAAGTGTTTCAGTGTTCAATAATGATTTAACATAAATAAAAATTTATAAAAAAACAGAATTTCAAAAAATTTGACTTAAATATTAATGTTATCAGTGTTTATTTAAATATTTCATTAATAAATTAATTTAAATAGCTTTCATTTGATTATTTAAATATTGATAAATGATTTTAAAATTAGTTTATTGCTATATATCTCATATATTTTGTACATTTTATAAAACAAAATTATTTAACAGAATAATTAATACACTTTTTACTAAAAAAACATAATTAATTTATTCTACAAATTAATTTAGTAAAAATAATTTTATATGCTTTATTACTGTGCTTAATGAGCACCGGGAGTTTAGCGTATAAATAGACTGTTTATCAGTTATAATCGGATGTGAATAAAATAATTCACACAAAACTCGCAAACATTTAAATTGATATTGAAAACATGTTTTTTCATTATCATAATATTTATGATATAATTTAGTTTCCATAAACATTTTCATTACTAACAAACTATTCATTAGACTTTAAAATTTAATTTTCATAAAACTTTTTCCTTTTATTTTTCTATTCATTAATTTATATTCACATGTAATCACCTTGATAACATTATAGACAATTAGTCTTTTGAGACTATTAACTAATTATATTATACACTTTATAATTATATTCTCATAAAACTTCCTAGCTAATTACTAATAACTATGAAATCCTATTCACTATTTCATATAATCATCAGTATATTAGTATTAAATACGGCCTACTCTGTGGCCACACCTAAATTCTGTGACCACAACTACGTGGACACTGTCCTATGGGACGGCCTGTCCTATATGGTGACCAGAAATGAGTGGATCGCCACCTATGATGAACAGCACCGGAATGTCGGCGACTTTGTCCACAAGGATGACCAGGACTTTGCTAATGGTATGCCTTTTATGACAAACAAAAGTAGTTTTAAATTAATTTTTATCATAACTTTCCAGTGAAAGGCTATTACTATCAGTCGGGTTACCACATACCACGGGTGCCCACCTGTACCAACACCACATCACAGGCCTGTCAGCTCATCCATGGCTTGGCTAATGTCACGGTTTACTCCATACGTGTGGACAACAAATACGATATCATATACACTACACCAAAGCTACAGTTCCTTCAATTAAGTACAAATAACTTCTTTGAAAGTCATTTAAACGCCAATCGATTGGTCCATAAGTACAAGCCTTCAGTCTATACTCCCAAAGACTATATGTTTATACATGTTATCAATGATTACCAAAATTATGGCCCTATTCTGGAGGCGATAGAACTGAAAGCTACCGGTGCTATTGAGCGCTCGTATCACCATATGGTTGACAATCAGGACATACTGTTTATAACAAGTTTTTGGTGGAAATTTGACCAAAAGTTGTATATTATTGGCGAATATAGACTTGGTTTTGGCGACGCCTTTGTATATGAGTTATGCACTCATAATAAGACTTTCACTCTGAAACCAATTGTAAGTATAGTTATATGAAATCAATTTAATAACTATGAAACGTAAATATGGCTAACAAATTAAGTTTTAATTTATTGTAATCACAAATAATTTCAATAACTAATAGTATTCCTAATTGTTAGTAAGTTTAATGTCTGTAACTTGTAACCTAACCTAACCTAACTTACTACACTCACTTACTCACAGTATACAAAATCTAGTCTACTAATTTTTATTTTATTATTATGTCATAATACCTGTAAATGTAAACCCATTTATTTATTTAAATGAATCTTAATTTAAAATACATGAAAACATTTAAACCCAAGTACAGTACCCTATTAAAAATATCTTGATTAAATATAGATTAAGCTTATAAAAGCTAGTATATAGCACTTTTATAATTTAAATACAGTTAATTAATAGGTTTATTATTATTATAATTAATTTTATGCTATACAAACTTTAATAAACTATCACAAAAATTATAGGATAAAAGTGTCGCAGAATTTTTTGGCTGTATTTCCCATAACTGGCCAAAAGCTAAACAACAAAAGCCATTGAAAAGTATTGTTTTTAGTCCGACACAAACGCTAAACACTAGACGTATGGACGGCTATCCCGAGATTCAAAGCCACATAACAACCCCTACCACTACACTAACAGGAATGGTATCTAAACCGAGACAACTGCCAGAAAATATGAATAAAAGCACTGAAATCACGCCAACACTGAAACCCCATACAAATAGCGATATATTTACGGAAATTCTGTTAAATAGCACTCAAATCGCTATAAACCCTGAAATTGATAACACTTTTCGTAATAATAATCGTAACATAAAGTCAACAAATGTCCCAAAAACTGATGATAACTATGATAGGCTGTCCTCGACAGCACCACCACTACTCACATCGGTATTTAATCACCGCAATAGCGATAATCTCACGGATAAGCCATTGATTTCTAATACTATGGCTACAACTCAGTCCCCAAAGACTACTACCAGTCCTTCGAGCGATGATAAGCAAGGAATGGATGCGGAGATCATATCAAACAACTTGTCGGCCAAAGCACTCGTCAAAGAGGACAGGGATTACGAGTGGCGCCAAATCATCCCCATTATTATACTCATACTAATCGTCGTAATACCGGTGCTGATGGTCATTATTGGCGTAATTCTATGCATAAGTAAGTCATAAATTGTATCAAAAAATATTTTCTTATACTTTGAATGCATTCCCTATTCAGACATCAAAAGTATGACAAAAGATGTTAAACGAATGGACAGGAAATCAGTGGCCGTGTTGTACAACGAGAGGAATGGCAGTAGTTTTGGGGAACAGATGAACGACTCGTTTATTGGCGACGAGGAGGACGTGGCGATGGAGGACACGGATGACTGGACAGCCCCCCGCCCACTACTATCCCGGTCCTATGAGCTCATAGGGCGCACGCATTGCCATCAATCCATACCCAGTCATACGAACTCTTTCTGATATAATCTACAGAATCTTAGTGCAGAATATTCTGTCACTTATTGCTAACATATTTGCGATTATATTCTGTTATAACGGTTCAGAATAAACAACTCATTCGGAGATATAATAACAATAAAACATGTTTTCAATATAAATATAAACATTTTTTCATTATAATTGTTAAGTGATATCATTTTGGCGATCAATTTGTATGTCCAATGAATATCTAAATTATAGTGAATTTTATTATTTTCTAATCTTTTATATGAATTCAATTGAAATCCATTGAAATAAAACTTTATTTTCGTTACAAACCAAACGTTTTCTATGAATATCTTTCACTGCAATCACAGATCACATGCTTTTTCAGTGCCTTTTGTTTTGCAAACATTTTGATTGACATTTGGTTTGAGTTTTGCTGTCATTTGACACACAATTATACGAAGACATGACTCCCGAAGAAGACAATGAATGCCAACACTTGTGGCCAAAGGTTTGTACGGATTATCACTTCAATGGCCACTCGATTGCCAACTAATGAGACAATTGTCTGTATTTTAGTCATTATTAACACCGATTTGTATTGAACAGCACTCCAGAGGAAGACTATCACCCAATGGACTCATTCAAGCGATTCGTTGATGACTTGTTTGGACATGAATTGTCTTATTTGGCACTCAATGAGTCGATTCGATGGGAATATGTGTCCAAAGAGTGGCAGATATTGCTATCAATGGACACAACACTGTCAGCACTAGTGGTCACCGCATTGTCTTCGTATACATCCAGAGCTGATTCGCAAGTCTATCACCACTGCTCTAAGCGATGGTATACTTGGTATAGACTCGGATGGCATCGCAAACACTGCTATGAATGCATTGAATCCAATGGACTCTCACCACAAGAATAATGAGAGCGAGTCTTAAGTACATTGCGATCACTGGCGAAGAATATGACAGATAATGACTGAACGGATATTAGATTTTGTTGTCAAATGAACTGTCGTTTTGTGTAATACTTGACTTCACTTTACAATGTAATGCATAATAATAGCGATTGTATTGTCAATCAGTGTTTATCTCGCGATTAGTATTTGGTTTAAAGTTTAAACTAAACTACTGTTCAGACGGTTGTCGTAACGGAAGTCCTAATCATTACATTACTTAACGATTTGATCCAATAATTACCAGCGATGTCGTGGAGTACTAGTAATTGGCGATCAATTGATACCCAGGTTTCCATTGACTACAAGACATGAAACCAATTGAATGCCTATTAATGTGTCATTTGTTTGCATCCATAGCCCAAGACTTCACTCAATGATAAGTACTTTACTATCGATGGCTATCGGAAGGACTCGTTTGACAGATATGGCGACGATTTATGTCAACTCATTGTCTCTCATCTGCAACTCATGGACTCGTTTCGCATGCAATGTGTGTCCAAACAGTGGGCGAGAAATGTCTTCATTGGTCACAACACTCTCGATATCAATGAGTGGTTTCAGCAATGGATCCAAAACGGAGGCCAAAGAGTCGAATCCATTAGATATCGTGTCATCGATTCGGTGGTCAAGAGGTGTCTGAATATCACATCCATTAAAGTGACGATCGATTCACAGAAGTCTTGGATTTTACTTCAGATCGTACTGAACGAGTGGAACGACATGTCGAGCA